GGGCGCGTGTGACCCCCTTGGGGGGGGGGGGAATGGTTTAGCGCGAGAAGCTGGACGGCGCCTCTCTCTGGCCAATACCTCCATCCTCTGGTGACTTGTGGGTATTGCCCCACTTTTGACGAAGCCTGGCCCTGGAGAAGGAGGCGGTGGGAAACCGGGGTGTTTCTGCCTCCCTTTGGGCACCTCGAACAATTCCGTGGAGAGCAATCCAGTTGTTGGGAGTAAATCCCGGGGGTCTAGAGGGTGGGACGCCCATGAGGAAGGGGGAGCGTCTTTGTCTGGGTCGGTAATCCTGGGGGGGGGCTTTGAGCTTCCTTCGCTGGGTCATCAAGCCGCCCGCCGACCTGCCAGCTGGCTAAACCTCTAAACCCCTTTGCCACAAATCCATGACTGGTCTGGGGAAAGCACGGCGCGCGGGGAGGGGGGGGGAAGAGGAGCCAGGTCTGCTATCACGCTCTGCCACTTTCAAACCACACCCCTTTCTCTCCCCCCCCCCACTCCCCCTATGAGCATTTGCGTGCATGTAGCTGCCCTCCTGCCCTCCTGGAAGAGTTTTCACCTGCATGCCGAGGTCATGAAATGGGAGAAGAAGATAAAACAGAAAAGAAACAGGACCAGGACCAGGACCGGGGGTGGGGTGCTGGTGCTAGTGGTGCATTACTGGACCACAAAACCATCCATGTGCTTGTTACATGGCTCAGATGGGGAGAGCAGGAAAAGAGAAAAGTCTGGAATTTATCCTGGCCAGAAGCTTACATTTCTGTTTCTGCTGTTCCAGGAGCAAGGTGGCTCTTCACTTTGTAACACAAGAGTAAAGATCTGATAATGTGCTGCTTTGCACCTGGATATGCATGCACTCAGTGGGTAGCTCCCTGGCTTAGGCATCTGGCCAACGAGCCAGAGGTTTGGAGTTGGTTTCGCCCTTGTTGCCTCCTTGGCAGGGTCAGAACTTGATGATCCAGAGGGTCCCGTCCAGCTCCGCAGTTCTAAGATGATGATGATGATGATGACCACATCTGCTGGAAAGTGACACCTGCTATGGATGTTTCGAAGCCATATGGTGCAGGAGTTATTGAGAGAAATGTGTGGACCCCTCCCCTAAGGCTACCTTAGCAACCCTTGACATCTCCCAATTTGCAATCGCCATGTTATCCCTCCCCTCAACCACCCCACTTTAAGGGCAGCGCCCAGTTCCTTCCCCTCCACATTCATCTGCCCAAACAGGAAATAGTTAAGGATGGGGGAGATTTTGCGCAGGAAGACTGAGCACATAGTCCAGCTTCCTTTCTCTCACAGGGCTTGGGTTCCAGTCCCCTTCTCATCCTGGTTGTCCTCCTGGGAACTTGTTCCAGTTTGTTGGCATCCTTCTTAAAGTGCCGTGTCCAGAACTGGACCCAGGACTCAAGAGGAGGCCTAACCAGTGCAGATGATGTTCCTGGCATGTGTGAACTGGCTCTAAATTTGCCTGACAGGAGAGTCTTCTTCATTATGAGACATCCTTCCCAGGGTTAAATGGGAAAAGGAGGAGATGTTTGTGGGTGGCAGTGGGGTCCGTTGACTCCCATCTTATGGAGACAGTGAACCTCTTCTAAGTTTTACCCTGAACTTTAGAGAGCTATCCAAGGTCCTGAATGCACGCGCGCGCGCGCGCACACACACACACACACACACACACACACACACACACACACACACACACACACACACACACACACAAAGAACGCCAGCCACACAGACCTTGGAAAGATTCGGTACCTTTCACATTAAAACCCTGGCATGGATTCAGAGCTCTTTAAAACTGGAGTCACAATCCTCGACTGGTGGGTAGTAGATTAAAAAAATCCCTCCCTCCCTCATGTGGACTTTCAGGAACTAAGTTGCTGGGATTCTTCCATACTGTCAAGCAGTTCACTGTGAACATATTTTAAAAATTCATTGCCTTTTTTTCTACTTTTGGAAAAAGGCTTTTCAGAAAAAAAACTTACTTTTTTCTTACAGCAGATGTAGACAGAAAGCAGCCCAGGAGCCGCATGTGTGCCCCTGATGTCTCCTCGCTGGGCAGAATTCATCCCAAAAGTGTTATTTTTCTATTTGTGGCAACTCCAGGAGTGGTGATTTTGAAGGGGTGGGGAAAAGGTTACTATGCTCCCAATTTTTCCTCCAAAACTCAAAACCCACAAAAATAGAACTACCTAGATCAGATTTCCAGCAACCTTCAGCTTTGTTTTTGTTATGAAGTAATTTGGTAGGTTTGGGGAGTGAAATATTGAGCTCTCGGGGGGGGGGTATCTCCAGAGTTGCTCCCACTGGTCTGATGTCAATAAGCCAGTCCAGAGAAGGAGGTACCTGCTGGAAAAGCAGGCTAGATCAGAAGCACAGCAAGCATCAAATGCTCGTTTCAGCCCCCAAACCATTTAAGCATGCATGGATGTGGTCCACAGGCATAGCACTGTTTTCAGTGGGGTCTGGAGGGTGACCCCGCTTGCACTGAGGGACAGCTAGGTGGCCCTTTGGTATCTGTCATCTCTACTCAGAGGGACTGCTGGATGAAGGGTGAGTCTCAAGAAAAGAGTTAATACCTGGTTTAACCGCGAGGTGTCAATGTTAGGTTTTAAGTGAAGGCAAGTAAAATAGTGTCTGGAAAGCAGGGAACATTTATGGACATCTAAACTAGAATTAACATTCACACTCACTTGCACACACCGAGCACTAACATTAATAAATATTTTATAAAAGAGTAATGGAAGGAAAGATGGAAAGACACAAAAATCTAGAGAAAATTGCAAAAGGCAGATGACTCTTTTGCTGCTACAGACCAGGGACATTGCAGTGTTTTCCAATGTCCTCTTGAGCCCTTTCCCCCTTCCTTTTAAAAGGTTATGTCATCTCCGTCTTTTCCTCCCTTTTTGCCCCAAGTTCATGGGAAGGATATTTCCATATAGTTGTGTTTTCTTTAAATATTTTTAGTGTCCATCATCCATCTGTTGGACCCCATGATGGTTAGAACACAGCCATAGGTCTAGCATTCAGTGAGTACACACTGGAGGAAGTTTTAATTGTGGTTCAGAGCTCTGTTCCTTAACCACCATGCTATTGCACCATCATGTACATGGCAGCACATGGCCATCTCCATACAGGCATGTGTTTTCCCTTGAGACTTAAGAGGTGCCATTGGGTGGATGTTATGGCTCCGAGGCACACAGCATTTGGGTGTGCTTTTTCTGAAAAGGATCATATCAGCGCATACGGCTGTGAATCAGATATAGATTATTTGAATAGCCTGTTTAAATCAACATTAGGTTTACATGATAAATCAGGAAGACATAATTCATTGAAACATGACAAAATCCACATGGGCATGATACTTTTATGGGGCCAACCAAAAAAGTCACATCAGCATGTGCATAATGGCTGTGGCCCCTCTGTTTTCACCCAGCAAGGCGTTGCAAAAAGAAGCTGGGGGCTTGATTTTAAACCCTTGCATTCTGCATGCCATCTGCAGATAGCAAGGTCTAAAGACCAACCCTTCCCCTTTCCCCACCATGCTTATTTTTGTGCCAGCTTGATTGGCAAAGAGATTAACCTTGAAAGTTGGTGCACCTTTTTGTTTCTTTTTTGATTGGTCTAATAAAGATATCAATCGCACCAGCCTGGATTTTGGAATCTGTTTTGTGCCAACACAGCTACGGCTTCTTTTACATCTGAAAACACAAATAAAAGTCTTTCCCTGCTCCTTGTTAAATTAGGGGCATTTTCTGATGCTGACTCGGGTTCAGCATTGGGGGCCTGCTGCTCCCCCCGCCTCCCCCACCCTGTTTAAGAGCAGAGTTTCTGAGTTGTTCACCTTGCCTCCATTCCTCGCTCTGATGCAGTTGCTCAGCTGTTGCTCTCTTATAATAGGTGGATGACACCCCTGCAGGGTTTATTTCTGATACCTCACCCTCAGCCTTTGAAACTGTTCCAAGCCTAGGTTCCTCTCAGCTGCAGCCACTGACGTAGTAAGAAGGGCTGCTTTGGCTTTTTAATTTTAGTCGACCAACCCTCTCACCGGTGAAAATCTTCTTGTTCACCATGTCACCATTTCTCTCTGCTCTCTGCCATATTTTGTTTACACCTAAGAGCTGAAAACTCATGGCCACTCAGAGGTTGTCAGTGAAAAAACATCTGCCAGAAAGAAAGAAAACATACTTATTCCTAGAGAGGGAGGTAGCATTTTGAAAGATGACTCCTGGACTATGCCAGCCCAATAGCCGGTGAACTTCAAGGCTGGAGTATTGTGGGGCTGTAGTAGAAACAATCAAAACTGAACTTGCATTGGAAGCAGAAATGATGAAACTGAGGCTGTCCCGTTTTTGGCATATCATGAGAAGGTAAGATTCTCTGGAGAAGACAATAATGCTAGGAAAAGTTGAAGGCAGCAGGAAAAGGGGAAGACCCAAGATTAGATGGACTGTAAAGGAGCCTCAGCCTTAAGTTTACAAGAGCTGAGCTGCTGAGGACGGGACATTTTGGAGGTCCCTCATTCCTAGGGCCTCCGTAAATCTGAGACAACCTGACAGCATGTAACAAGAAGCAGCAGCAATTAATAACTTTCCTCGTTTCTGAATGTTTTACCATCATGGTGTTGGGTTCCCCACAGCATATCTGAAATACATTTTTTTTAAAAAAAAAAAATATATATATATACACATTTTTGTTTCCAAGAACACCAGTTTAGTTTGGGAAGAGCAGCTTGAGTTTCTGGTGTCTTAAAAGTAGGGCACCTAACGCCAAGAACACCAGTTTCGTTTGGGAAGAGCAGCTTGAGTTTCTGGTGTCTTAAAAGTAGGGCACCTAATGCAGCTGAGAGGGAAATCTCTATGACCAGAAGGTGAGAGAAACCTTATGCTGGGCATTGCAGGCGCCGGCTGGATTCACACTGGGGTGGAGTGAGGTATCTGAGCCTCCTCTGAGGTTTCTCCTCTCTCCATCTGACATGGTTGTAACTTCAACATCAGGAGCCGACATATTAGCTATTCCTTAACCATTGAAAGAACTGATTGAAAGACTCGGAAATCTGATGCCACAGTCAGGGAATTTGGGAAAATGAGGATGATAGATCTGCATCTGCTTCTCGGCCTTTTGGCTAAGATCAAGTGTAGTATATCTGTTGACTGGGGGATCCTGGGATTTGTAGTCCAGAAGAAGATCGTTTACAATCTTTGCTATTCTTGGAAAACATCTTGCTTTCAGTGTATCCCCAGGGTATTTCCCTGACTGCACTAAATAACGTCACAACAAGCTAATCCTTTTCCGAGCTCTGAAGTTGGAATTCTCAAATGTTTCTGTGCACAACAAACAATTTTTTGCAAATTATTCCACCCAACAGTTCAAGATTAGGAAAAAAATGTCTCTTTGTTCAGGGAATAAACATTGATAATAGCCTTGCAGGGGACAGACAATGCGTGGTCAGAGATACTCTGCCTGTATGTCATTGTATTTCTTTATTAGGGAAAATCTTTATTTCAGTTCTGGGGGAATGCACTCTTCATGCATGGAGCAGTTTCAGCACCATTAATGCTGGCAATCCGGCCATGTGAGAAGGTCATTTCAGCCATTATCATCTGATGGACAGACGTGTGGCCGAACAGACATTGCTAAGGCACTGAAGCAGCCTACGTACACATAGCCAGCACCACCAAAATATCAGAGCACTATTAAGAAATCCTAACTGAACTGTGGCAAAGCAGCATCTCATTCTCAGTTAGACTGGAGAAAACTGGTTCTAGCCCTAACTCATGGCAGAAAAGGGATGCACTAAAGAGAGAAACAGGTGCCTGAGCACCCCTCAAGCACAGAATCTTGCTTCGAACAATGCTCATCTAGAAACTTCCTTCCTAGGAAAAGAACTCCATCTCACTCAGAGGGATACGGTCACAGAAATTCACACTTTCATTTCTTCCTGATTTGACTGCCACAATGTGCTTCACATGGGGTTGTCCTTGGATGATGTTTGGAAGGTAGACCTAAGTACAGCTACTCTTGTCTGTTGTGTTCCTTAGAGACCATGTATCAGTGGTATGTGGTCTCTCTAAAGGACACTAACTGCACCAGTTTCCAAACTTAATACAAAGTGCTGTCTTTGATCTAGGAAGCATCAAAGAGCCTGAGGCCAGGAGGATATCTGAAAAGCATCTGTCCTGGTAAAGGCTCGCCTAGAATTTGAGATCTTCAGTGGATGTTCTAATAACTAATAATCAGGGACTGCAAAGCTGACTGTAGCTTATGGCAACCCTGCCAGGGCTTTTCAAGTATAAAGAGCTAACAAGTTCCTACCAGTCTTCCCTCTTACTATGGGCAGTCCTAGACCCCCACCCCCCACCTTGCCCAAGGCCAAACACATGGAAGGGCATGTAAACCCATCATCCACAGTAGGTGACCTCAGCTCGTCCCTCTTCTGGGAGACACGATATTCCAACTCCTGGCCGCGGGTACTCCAACCAGCCCATGGAGCTGCACAGTAAAAGAGGCCCTGTGCGGCCCATTAAAAATCAGATTAAATGAGGTTCGGTTGGGCTCCACCACTAAGCTTCCAGTCGAAAAACACATGATTTATCCAGGGGTTTTGGTTTTGGAAATCGGTTTGAATTTGCTTTTAAGGAATGCATGGCTTCCGTTTTGCGTTTCTGCTTCAGATTTCTTATGCACTGGCTTGGGGTCTCCAGTAGACTGCAAATCACTATATAAATACTAAATGTAAATCATGAACGCTTTGCAGGTAAATAATTCCGTTTACTACTTATTAATGACTAAAGCATAATTACTTTGCAAGTAAAACACAAGCACCTTGCATTTATCCCTAAATAAATGTAAACGAATATGAATTAAGCCACCCGTGGGCAATTCAACTGACACAGCCTGGCAACGGAAGGACCTTCCATCAAACGCCCGGAACGCGAGCCATTTCTCAACACTCCCCCCCCCCGCACGAGGCCTCATGGTCTGAGCCTCTCTCCCGGTCCCTCCTGGGAATGGTAGTTCTTCGCCAAGAGCCTCCAGGACGGCCTGCGGAAGTGGGGGCAAACAAAAGACTTCACTTCCCATCAGCCCTCGGGAAGGGGGCGACGGGCGGAAAGAAAGGGGCGGGGCAAGCGCCGGGGTGAGCGTCCGCGCGGCTCCCGCGGTCGACGTTGGGCGCGGGCATGCCGGGAGTCGTAGTTCTTTCGCGCAACAACGCCCGTGGCGGCCCGCGAGTCTGGAGGCGGGGAGGACTACATCTCCCGTCGGCGCAGGCAGCGAAGCCTCGGTGGCGGTGCGCGCGCAGAGCGCCTGGGCCTGCGAGGACGGAGGCAGACGGTGAGGTGGCGCAAGGCGGGCGAAGGAAGTC